GTTGGTATGCAAGCACCACTAGTATTTGGTTGGTATGCAAGCACCACTAGGATTGGGTTGGTTTGCAAGCACCACTAGGATTGGGTTGGTATGCAAGCACCACTAGGATTGGTTTGGTTTGCGAGCACTACTAGGATTGGGTTGGTATGCAAGCACTACTAAGATTGGGTTGGTATGCAAGCACCACTAGGATTGGTTTGGTATGCAAGCAGTACTAAGATTGGGTTGGTATGCAAGCATTACTATGTTTGGCATCATTTATAGCTTAACCACCCGGACTACTGCTTGCAGTTTTGTTTCTTAATACTAAATTTGCTTTATATTAGAAGTTCATGTGCTTAAATGTAAATGACAGATGAATGTATGATCAGAAAAAGACATATTTCAATGATTCAGTGATGTGCTGCTAAAATAGCACATATTGTATTCTTCTTTCTACTTTTCAAATAATCTTAGCACACAGGAGTTAATTCAGTACGTTCAATTACCCAACATAGACTCGGGTCAGTCAAAATGATTATTTTGAACTGCAGGCATTAATCAGCGATTCTGCCGGTGACGGAGAGATAGAATCTAGGTCAGGGGAAGCCCCATGACCCCACGATTCTCTTTCCCTTACGTCACAAACCACGTGACCAAGCCCATATGGCAGCGCCATAGACGGCTGTACAATCACTCTTCGCCGGGGATGAAGTTTTAGCGACTCTGCTGGATCAACTGCCTTTTTTCCTGTCCGGGTTTCTAGCTTGGGTTTTTGCCTCTGCACGGCATCTGACATTGTAGCTGGTAGGATAAATTTTCCTTGTCATTTTTACCCTTGTGTCGTTTTCCCCTTTGTGTGTAGTATTTTTCACAACAAAGTAATTAAAACCCGGCGCCACTATGTAACCACTTGTTGGTCTTGTTGCGGCACCTTTTACAACTGTATTTCGTTTTTCCCTCATGCATGTTGTCTTTTATTTACAATGTATTTAGCAATATATAGATGTAATGACAGCACCAGGGCTTGCTGCCGTTTTCCTTTTGGTCTCCTTGTGTTTCGAGTCGACTGTGGTTATATTCAGAATTTACCAGCATAGAACCCGCATCTGAGATACTTTGT